CCCCCCCCCCCCCCCCCGGACCCGTACCCCTCGACAAAGATTGCGAGCAGCCCTTCACGCAAACCAAACACACGACTTCGAGAAAAAACACAGGATCTCGTCGTCCACAAACGTCAGGCACCTAGAAAAAAACTTGCACGCCTACCTTCTCTCTCGGAATATTGCTGATGGAGGATTTATGCGTGCGACCACACGACAAAAAAAAAAGCGGAACGCATGGGTGCGCCGTTCATTCGAACACATGGGACGGGAGCCACATCGCGGCACACGCCCTCTTAAAAACATGCACAGCACGCGTAACGGCAGGTAGACTTCACACACAGCAGTATTCGCCGGGCAGCCGGAGAAACACATCACAAACACACGCTCTCCTTGCAGCTGAAACGGAGGGTAGGTACCCTCGCCCCCGCAAACGCCTACTTCCGCGCCCGGCAGTACAACCCGCCGAGCGTTTCAAGGGACAGGGAAGCTCTGGCCAACCAAAACCGCACCTTCGACTGCGTTCGTCACGCATGGCCAGCACGTCGCTACGCCACGCCCACCCCTCCTTACCCTCTCGGCAGAGTATGTATCGCTGAACGGAAGACACGCTACGTACGTATTTCCTCATGTTGCACATGGCATGTGCTACGACCACCACGTTCCAAAAGAGACATGAAAAAAAAAAAACGCGGCAATGAGAACGAGCGAGAGAAGCACGATCCGAGCGCCAGCCAAATTCCACGCCAACATTAACAACCAACTAGCCGGGACGACAGCAGCGGTGGGCACAGTCCAAAAAATGGTTGCATCACACCCACCAAAATTAAAGCTCACCGCACACGATGACGCCAATACACCCGACGCCGCTACACTTGCGTTTGTAGTCGCATACGGAAATAAAAAGAAAGTAAACGCTTTCAACAAAAGCACCAGGCCCCGCGCGAAGGGCTCTCACTCGTTCACTAAATGCGCGAGAGAAACTCGCGCGCGCTCAAGAAAACAATCACAAAATTCCAAAAGGTGGCACCTAGTCATGCACTGACACACATAACGACATGACAGCCGCCCGCTCACTCCCCCCCCCCCCCCCC